TGATAAAAAAAAAAAAACAAAAGTCCACAGGAATAAGTGTACTAATGTTATTGGATCATGTTAGCAAATACATTATTATTTCAACTTATTATTATTTTTTTTTATGGTAAGTAAACAAAATATATTAATCTTTTGTAAAACTGTACAATTGCCTTAGATCATATTTGTAATTGATTAATTTGGTGGAGTCTATTATAAAATCTCAACATATTTCATGGTCATAATGCTATCAAATTCGAGATCCGAAAGTATCATTGAAGGAAGGAGATCAAGCGTCAAAACAACATCATTCAATCTCTGTATGCACCTTCATGTTTAATACAAGGTAATATCCTAAATATCTAAGATGAACCTTTAGTAATTCTAACTTAGGTTGATTGAGATTAAAATTAAATTAGAACTTAGGTGATTTTAAATGAAATGATTTTCTAAACTATTTATGAGTTTTGAAAATATAGTTTGAATCACAATCAAACTATTTTTTGAGCATTGCCCTTTAGTGCTTAAGATGACAACTTTTAACATGGTTTTATGCTTAAATAACCTGTAGGAACTGATTCATATTCGCTAGTATTTGTTAGAACGGTCTTTTTATGACTCAGAAAAGGAAATGAAAAATGACCATAGAAGGCAGCATAGGACTTGCTCTATGAGCTCGCTCGAGCAATGTCCATAGTTGCTCGAGCGGTGTTTGTCTTAGTCATGTTTGAGATGTTATTTTCACTTCAACGACAACTGCACTATAACTGTTCTCCCACCAATCGAACGGTCGTTCCGAATTTGAGTTTTCTTATTTACTACGATTATCTTTATTTCGGACTTATAAATAAGGGGAGCCTTTTCCACACCTAGGTTAAGTCTCTTGTGAGATATTTAAGAAAAAAAATCGTACTTCTATCTTGAGAGCTTCTACCACAACCTAGATCCCTAAAACCTAAAAGGCTACCACTAAAAATTATATCCAACCTTAGAATTTGGAGAAGAAGATCTTATTAGTGACAAACTCATTGGTGTGTGCAAACCGAGAGTCTTGGGTGTGATGTCTTGAAGATTGCTTGAGGCCTAAATGAACCGAGTGACGGGGAGTTCAAGTAAAGCTTACCATAACGTCGAAGGAGGGCCTTTGACGAAGAGATCTATAAAGGAAATGAGCATCTAGCTATGTAGATTGGTTGATGTATAAGATTCAAGTACTTATAGATTGACTTTGGATTTAGTGAACTAAGCTTTGGTGAACCGATAAGGTTCCCTGCGATTTTTTTAGAGAAGGGTTTATGCGTCAATAAATCACTTATGTTATTTATCACTTTTACGTATATACTTGTGATTTGATGCACACATGCGCACTATATATTTGATGAATTCATTATTTGAATTTACATATCACATGTAGTTTCTAGATTAGGTTTAGTTTACTTGGGTTAAGATCACTGTGTGAAATTGAGTGTTATTTAACAAATTGATAAAATAAATACATTAATCTACATTGGTATTTTGGGTTGTAGTGATTTAAAAGGTCTTAAATTGACATATCGTAGTGAGAAAAGATAATTGAAGTTAAATTGGGATAAAATTGGTATTTATTTATGTGAAATTTTTAATAACTTCTTCACTCCTTCTAGGTCTAACGTGCGATTCCTCGTGTATAATCTAATGGAAAGATCCTACACATGAAATGTTGTATTTTTTCCACACTGAAAAATATTAAAAGTGGAGAAATACACAATATGGCAGGAGACAATATATTAAATGATAAAAATATGTATGATCAAATACCAAATAATTCAATCGATTGACAATCATGAACAGTAGAATCAAGAATCAACTTTGACATGTCACATTGCTTAGTTTAAATCAAACACAGTCTCATACTCGGTTCATCTTGGTGACATGATAAGTTACACTTAAACATATAAATCTATACTCATATTAATCAATCACATCTCTTAGGGCCATAATTATAATCGCACTGCATGGGGCTACAATCATATTTCACAAAATATACCTCAAGTACATGTCAAATCAACAAAATTTGTAAAATTTCATATCAACAGAAAGGACCCAATATGAATACAAATTTCAGATGATCAAAATGATATTTTTTGCAAAGAGATTGAAAGACATAAGCATATTTTATAAGGTTATGTACCACAAATCACCAAGAAATTCTGATAAATTTGATCACTATTGTATTAAGAACAAAATATTGCAACTTCATTAAATTTGAGACTAAAATCACAATCTAATTTGGAACCCCAGAACCTCAATTTTATTTTTTTCTACTCTCTCTCATCTCTTTTCCATTTTCATCTCTTTTCTTCCTTTCTTTCCTTATTTAATCACTACCTAACAAACCCCTTTAAAACTCATATCACTTAATATTTTAAGCACTTCTTAAAAATATGCTACAATTTTAAATAGCAAACCACATATTTATCACTTAATATTGAAAATGTTAGTCAATAAGAATTTTATCAATTTTTTTATAATAGACAAATATACCCTCAATTAAGCTTACACTCTTAATTTTTTCATACCCATCATCCACAACCACCATCATTGTCTTGTTGCTGCCACCATTGTACCACTATCCATCACCACCACTGTGTCATTGCTACCACTACCACCATTATGACCACCAACACTATCGTGTCGTCGCCCCCACCACCATCACCCCGACCATTGTATCACCGCTACCACCATCACCGCCATTGCCACCACCACTGTCACCATCACCACAATCATTATCTTTGTGCCACTATCACCACCACCACCACCACCACCATTGTGATGGTGATTGTGGGAATAATGTAGTTGTAGAAAGATGGTTAAAAGGAAGGATAAAATTAAAATAATAATAATTTCCAGAATTTATCTCTTTATATTTGTCAAACAGTTTGATTTAATTCAATACTTAAATTTCAGTTGATACCAAATAATGTGTAAATTAAGAAATTTAGCATTTAGCACCTAAATTTCAGCATTCAATTTTCAATGTTCAGCATGCAGTTTTATCAAACATCACCCAAATCAGAGACTTTGCGTCTAGAATACCAGAACAATCCACAAACAACAAAACATTCCACTTTTTCCCCTACAAAACAATCCACTAAGTTTTCTTTTCTATAGCTTTGACAAACCACTTCGATAATATTGAAATTCAACAAAACATTCGTGGGAGAATTTGACAAGGTATAAATTATTATGTGAAATTGTGCCACCAAGCTTTTCTTTGTGTGTGTGTGTGTGTCAGTAGCTATTTACAAAGGAAAGGAAGGGAGGGGATGGGAAGGGAAGAAAGGGGAGAGAAGAACCAACCTTAAATTCCTCGTATTAGGGCTCGACGAAGGTTTAATTAGGTGTCACTAGAGGGCAGATTAGGGCTTGCCAGAGGTCGTTGAAGGTCCGATTAGCTCTTGCCAAAGTTTGCTAGTGGTAGAGGTAGTTGGTGGTGGTGACTACTCATATTCACAAAAAATTAGGGGGAAATCAGGTAACAACATAAGAAGATGGTCACTGGTGGTGGTGGTGGTCATTGTTGTTGGTGGAGGTTTTTCGGATTAGGGCTCGCAGACATTTGGAAAAATCAAAGAAGAAAAGGGAAATTTGGTTATGGCAAAGACGATGAATACGTTAGTTAGATCAACGCATTTAAAATAATTGTAAACAAAAAAAATGTCAGTTAGACTAATATTTTTGATTCAAAAAACGTTAATTGGATTGACTTTTTAATAATTACGTGAGTTTAAGAAATAATTTCAAAACTATCGCCTTTTAGGCATATTTTTACCAAAACAGCCGAGTTTGGTAAAAAGCTTAGTGCTATCAAGTATAATTACACTTATACCCAACTAGCTATGCCTATCAATTCATATTGTCCCCTAAACTATTTATTTTTTTCACATTCACCTCAACCTATTAGTGAGTTTTACATTGTCACCGGTGTCAACTTCTGTCCAATTTTTCAAAATAAATCAGGAGGAAACACAGAATTCCACAGTATTGTGTGATGTGGTCATTCCATTTTCAACTGGAGGAAATTTTATTTTAGACTTTATCTTACTCAAAAAACTTCATAAACTTAACAATCATCAATTTAAAATTAGAATTTAAAGTTTGAAAATTCAAATTATTGATGGGCCTATAACAGAACTTTTCTACTTCTACCACCTTGAGGAGAACATATTCAGGTGCTTGACAGACATCACTTAATGGTACCTCTGGGCTGTTTGTTTGAAGTATTAGAGTGGTACAAATGAGTAATATTAGAAAAATAGTATGTAGGACTTATCTTATACTTTTTTGGTTTGACATTTTATTATTGATACTATTTTTCGGGTCGTAATACTGACCCGACATGAACAGTGACTTAAATGTCTTGTTTACGGTGCTATTAAATATCACTTATTAGGTGGTATTATCTTCCCGGTACAAATGAAAGGACGGTATAACAGACTAAAATGACACATACTCTCATGTACAATTGTCTTTTTAAGGTTACAAGATCATAATTGTCTTTTTACCACTCATAATTGCAATTGTTGACTTTTTTTAAGTATGTATTACATAGATAATATTTGTGAGAAACAAACAAGATAAAAGATAAGATTATGGTTTAAGACCGGATATAATATACCATTTGATAGGAATAAAATGAAAATAATTTCTAATACCACCCAAATCTAATACTCAAAACAAACAGTCCCTGTAATATAAAATATGAGAGGTTTCAATAAGTTTATCTAATAATTTCAAATAGACATATTCAACAGTCACCAACATCGCTCGCAAAACTATTCACGTTGAACCATGTCAACCACTAGTTGCCTCTAGTTACACATAAAACATCGTATATCACATAAAAATACTATTTGCAAGTTGTGTATTTTTTTTTATTGGGTGTGAATATCGCATGCTGCTGTCACGTGACACCTGCTGAACATCGCACCTTCTCTCTTTTGACCTAACCATTGAGAACCCTTTTTAGTTTTTTATTACTGTCACTTCGCCGCCGGCGGGTAAACATTGTTCGGCAACGGACTAGCTCTCGGAGACTTCATTGGAAGCTCATTCAACCTCTTCCCGTTGCTATCATAATAAATTACGCCCGGGAAATCCAACGGCTGACACTTATCGCCCATCAAGATATTCCTCTGCCACAACCCTCCGTCCCCGAAACCTCCACCGGTGACGAATTCCTCGTCGTCGAAGACCCACTTCTTGTGCCTGCTGGAGTTCGCCTCCTTGTTGCTTATCGCTGCGAAAATCTTCTTCGAGCCCTTTGGCTTTGCCGCCGGCGATTTGTTTGAATCAGTAATAGTGAGGATTCTCTTGGCTCGACTGGCTCGTTTTGTGCACACAGCCCAAAGAGAGGCCACGGAGTCTAATAAGCGGCTGGCTATTCGTTTTGGTGATCCGGCTGTGGTGGCGGTGGGAGTTGTACGGACCATTTTGGGAGGTGGTGGTGATCGCCGGAAAGAAATGGTGAGTGGGAATGAGGAGGGGTGCATGGGTATATGTAGGCGAGGGAGGAGTGTGGGAGACCAGTAATAGCCCGTAGAACTTCTTATTTATGGTTTGTTTTGTTTGTTATTATGTGGAATATAGAAATTCAAATTTAGAGAGAAGATGATAATGGCGATAGTCAAACGGTAAATGCTTTGTTTGGTTACTTCTTTTAATTTGGGAAAGTGAATCACTATAATTTGATCTTCAATTAATGGAAAAGAATTGGGACAATTAAATTGAACAGTCTTTAAAATTTGTCACTTAATCACCCATATCTCTTATTTAAAATATTTCAAACAAATTTTTTGAGGTTTGTATGCGTATAATACTTAGACCCATGTCGTCAAATGTTTGTTAATATATACATTAGTAAATTACACTTACACTTCCTAAAGTTTGTACGTGTATAATATTTATTGTATCATTTATTGAAACAAAACAAAAAAAGCCAAATTTTTCTTAAAAACTTATAATTAGTATACAATTATACTATCTATTGGAATAAATATAAAAAATAAAATAAGGGTCTAAGTCATTCATAATAGAAGATAAATTTTATAATTAAAATTTATATTTTATTATGTCATTTATTAAAATAAATTCAAAAATAAAAATATAATTTTTCTTAAAAAATTATAATTAGTATATAATTATACTATCTATTAGAATTTAATTTGATCATTTAAACGACAAAATTAAACTAGCAAATTATCCCAATTAAGCTGAATTATATTGTGTTCATTAAAGTTTGACCTCTTATCTGATTTTTTGTTTTATTTCGATAGATAGTATAATTGTATATTAATTATGAGTTTTTAAGAAATTTTTTTTTTATTTTTGATTTTGTTTCAATAAATGATACAATAAAATATGAATTTTGGTTATAAAATTTAAAATATTTAATGTTCTATCTTTAATTGGAATATTTTTGTTATATGTATAACATTTAAAACTTGAGAGGTTTAAGTATTATACACCTACAAACTTTGAGAGGTTTGGTTATAATTACTAATAGATATTTGCCGATAAGGGTTTAAGTTTTACGCGCGTACAAATTTTAATGGTCTATGTGTAATATTTTAAATATTAGGGTATCTGAATAATTAAATAACAAACTTTAAGGAGTCTGAATGTAATTCTATCAAAAAAAAAAAAATAGCTTAAAATCACTTATATTGAGAAATAAAAAAAGTTCAAAACACTTTAATTGTCACGATCAAGCAAAAAAATAATAACCATTGCAAAACAATTTACTTTCTACAGCGATAATATGAACGTGGTTACCAACATGCAAAGTATATATCATTTGAGATAAAAAAATCTATGTATACTTTGCAACCATCTTCTGTGCCACTGCAATAAGAGTTATTTAGTGATGATTGTTTGATCTTTGCAAAAGTGTGGATTCAAATTTTTTTTAATATATATTAATTTATTATAGATTATCCACTATCTACTAATAGGGGACTCATTTATATATAATAAAATTTATTTAGATTTTGGATTTACTATGAAATTTATTCTGAGTCAAAAAAGTTGGTCATTGAAAGAAAACTCCTATGTACACCCTTAAGAGCATTTACAAATAGGTTATACATTTCGACCATAAAAAATCATCTCTAATAATCTCTCTATTTAGACTAGACGAAATAGAAAGTTTGATTTGACTCTCTCTCTCTCTCTCTCTCTCTCTCTCTCTCTATATATATATATATATATATATATATATATATTGAGCAAAAATGTTACTAAAATAGAGAAGCTTAAAAAAAATTACTTTCTGTGAACATCAGGCACCCGAAAAAAAGATATTACATTGTGTTTGAGTAATTTTGGGACATTTTTGAAATAAAATGTTTTGAAAATGTTTCAAAATATTTTAAAATCATAATGAAAATAAAGAATAAATTTTTGAATTTTGATTTCAAAATACTATTCGAAACATCTCAAAATATTTTGAGAGACTGGAAAATTTAAGGATTTTTATATTCAATCACCTCTTAACGACAGTTTCTATCACGTCTTAATTATTTTGTTGAAAATTGAATAGTAAGTGTTTGAGGTGATTGCGGAATTGAAGAGCATGTGTCATGTGGGGTTCCATGTGTGGCGCATTTCAAGTTAGAGGAATGCGTTCGGCCGCCACTGACTATGGAGGCAGGTCCAAACGCAGTTGAGTCAACCCATTTATATGAGGTTTAGTGTACAAATGACATCTTCCAACTTTCTTTAATGGTGGGGGGGGGGGGGGGGTGGGTTTTTT